GTTGGCATGTTCTTGAAGAAATCAATGTTCAGTACGGTTTACTGGCATGTTCTTGAAGAAATCAATGTTCAGTACGGTCAATTGTATGTAGTTGTTTAACGCGTTACGAATCGTTAGAGTTAGAAGATTTTAATTTGTGGCCATAACGATGTACCAAAAACTCTAACAAAAAATGTTGTGTACAAGGAAATGATTAATAATATATAAATAACATTTTATTTTATTCTAATAAATGTGTTTTATATTTTGAATAATGATTCCATCATCCAAATCAAAATATTTTCTTTAATATTACTAGCCCGGGTATCGCACTAGTTTGAAGTAAATGAAAAATTGTAAAATGAATATAATTTGAAACAATTGTGTTCTAGATGTACCACAATATAAACTTCTGAGTTTTTAACTAAAAAATATGTTTTTGTGTTTCCTCAATGTAATGCAAAGAGGTTGAATTAATTTCATTTTTAGTAATTTTTCAATCTGTATGTTACATTCTTATCTATCTCGAGGAGTATAACACATGATTTGACTATTATGACCTTTAAAGGTCAATTAATTTTATTTCAGCATGTAAGGCGGGATATTTTATGCTTTTATTAAGCATTTTATCTAACGGGATTTCACTTGTTATTTGATTTAATGCCTTTTGACAATCTTCTAAGGATAACTTATTACGCATTTGATGTTTGAATATTAAAGTGCCCATTATTCTTTTGCATTCCATAGTTTGAATAAAAACTCTTTCTGGGTTTTTAATTTCATTCGTTATTACAACGTTTTTCTTTTTTATATCAGTAACCTCACCACGTTTTCTTAGTTTGATGTTAGTTGTCATAAATTCTTTGGATGCAAAGCTATAAGTTTTCTGCACTATTGTTATATAAACTGGTACTTCATTAAGGTAAATTCATTTGAAATGTAATTCTTTGTTTTATTTTTCTTCTAGGTTTTGCCTTACTTCTATTCATATTCATCATTCCTGGAATATTTATTTCCGGGAACGTTTTTTCTTCGTCAGATACTCCAAAATACATATCTGCATTTGGGTTATAAAAATCATCATTCGTGTATTCTTCAGGAGTCATGAACTCATGAGTGTCATATTAATTACTTGGTCCTGGAGGAATATCCTTCAGATCTTCTTCAATTTTAACATTCATACGATCTTTTGGTTCTAGATTTTAACTTTCTGAACTAGAGTTGCTGTAATTTCCAATGAATTCTTTTAGAGACAATATATTATGATATTTTTCTAAGAGAGACTGAATATCAGTTTAACTTTGAATAGAATCAGTTTCACTATTCATATTTCTTCAGTTAATCTTTTCCTTCCATTTTTAAACAGATTACTAAGATCTCATTCTTTTGGAAGTCTATTGTATGTAAAGACTTTTTTTCTTTATTTTGTAAAAAAAAAAAACTTTCAATTTCTGATATTTAGCAACCTGGTTACTAGAATCAGGTTGTTGTATATTTTGCTATATTCTTAGAGCAACTTCTTTTATTTCACTAACTGTTGGTAGGACCTGTTGTACATTTCCTACTTAGGAGTATTAGCCATTATCTTTTCTAATTTGATTTACAAGTAAAATTACTTTACTTACCTTTTCCATTAACGGTTCAATTTGTGAAATTTTCTCGACTATTTTTATTAAGGTTTCTTCTAATATATTTATGTTAATTCTATTAATATTTTCAATGATTTTATAAGCTTTTGCTGCAATATCAAGAATTTCTGCAAGTAGAGTATCAAGAAATTCAATATTTCTACTTATTTTTTCAAGTTTTTCAAGAATTGATTCTTGATTATCTCGGATTCTTTCAATATTTTCGCAAAAAGGAGTATTGTTTGTCCTACTCATATTCCAAATATTTGGAACATAAGCATTTGTTTTGCTCAGTCTTATTTTAAAATTTTTTGGCTAAAAATGCCTAGTATATTTCATTTGTAGCACTTAATTATCCTATTTACTAATATATAAGGGCATAAAGGTCTTTTCATTATTTTGTTGATTTTTGTTTTACTTTTTATAAAACCTTTTGGGTCAAAGGTCATTTGGCCAATTTTTTTTTTTCTGTTGTGAAGGTTATTAGAACTAAATACATGTGCATCTATGATGTTCTGTCTTTTTTTATGTTTTCAATTATGAATTATATGTGTATTGTCTGGAATGTTGTGGTTGATGTATTTGATTCTTGAAGGCAAATCCTCCCTATATATTAATTCAGAACGTGTTGAGCCTATGTGGCAGTGGTGGGCGCGGGGCAGGACGGTCCTGGATTTGACTTGTCCAGATACCGATCCCATTTTTATGAATCCGTCCATGAACGGTCCGGGATGAGGCACCGTCCCCACCCATATAATACATGAGTGTTGTACTAGTGGTTCTTGAATTAGCAAATGTATCTTTAGATTGCTCAAGATATTAGCATATGATTGTTCAAAATTGGCGGGCTTCCATATTCTTCATATCACGTATTTGAAGCATTGATTTGCAGTTTTCAAATTGGCTAAGGCAGAGCCTTTGCTTTCACTCTCAAATGTCACCTTTTTTGCGCGCAAATTTACTTCGCACGAGTTTTGATATACATGGGATTAGATTTTCATCATTTTGATTTAAAAAATAGCTCAGTGTTTAGGTTTGAAGCTTTATGACTTATGAGCCTTGACTTCAGTTGTGAATGGTTATACAAAGGGCTCATAACATTTTGTAACATTAATTGTGAATTTGTGATTAGGTGTGCACTAGCTGCAAATTCCATTAAGCTTAAGGATGTATCACATCCGAGTAATTTTGTGTTTTGAATATTTGTGGGGTTATAAAATTTGAAGTGAAATAGTAACTAAAAATATCCTCGTTCTCTTTCTATCTTCAAGTATGACAAGCCTTAATCGGGTTCTATGTTTTCGCCTGAGAGGTTATGTTTTGAGACGTTAAACTGGGAAATTGGGATTTTCGATTCATGTTTGATGTGCTAAAATTTGATAGTTAAAGTCTACGTGTTCCAAATGTGCAGCGCAATACTGTCCTGGAATTTTGTTAGAGTTGATGCTACTTTGCATATAAGGTAGTAAGGTACTTATGCCAATATCGGGAATTCGGAATAATGTGCTTATGGTTTGAGAGTGATGGCAAAGAAAACATGAAATTTATGCAGAGAGATATGTTTCGGTGTGTAATTTGTTATAAGTTATAACAGTAAGGTTACAGTTAGGTTTTTTACTTTTTCAAAACATATGTGTATTCTCCAATTAAAATATATATTCTAAAACACAATATTAACAAAATTATGACATTATGTTGGGTTCAAGTAAGAATGGTGTTCAGTGAAATAAATAAGAATGCATATTAACTATTAAACTTGATCATAACGACTAAAAAAAAGCCAAACCATTTTCACTGATTAAGGGTAAATTAGATATTCCACCATCACCCAACCAGAGAGAGATGAGATCATATGATAAAGGGTCATAGTCAAAGAAACAAAAATGAATTCTAACCGTTGGATGTGATATATCAACGCCTCAGACATGGTGAAAGGGTTCAACTTTAGTCAAACACGCGGTGACATTTCTGGAAAAAAGTGGACTTTTAATTTTTCACGTGGGCGTATTTTGGTCATTGTGCAAAATACAATGTTGCGATAAAATGCAATATCATATGCACTAATCCGCAATTTATCTAACAATATGGTGCAGTCTGTATAGTGATATTTTTAATGTGCAAGTTCGAACGCGATATAGTGAAATGCACTTGTAATTATTAAAGTTTTATTAAATTACATATTTGACTCATAAGCTCAATTATAATATAAATAAAAAATTTATAAAATTACAATTCAGTCCATCAAACCTATCTAATTTCAAAAATAATCACCCACAATCAACTGCTGGCGAATTTTCGAAACTTGACCACCGACGACCGTGCGTCTGCAGCATCCGCCGATGGTTGCTGCGGGTCCAATTGGGGATTGCGAGAAGAGGAAGTCGGAGAGGTCGACTTTGATTTTTGATTTTGATGGAAGCGAAGATGTTGTAAGCCCGGTCGCGAGCGAGCGATCGATTAGGATTCCGAGGCCATTTGCGGCGTCGATGAAGGTTGTTCGAATCATGCAAGTAAGAGAGGGGAGGAGCGCCGATGAAGATGATTCAATCGTTGGGCTCCCAGCACAAGTCGATTTCAGGCGGCGGAGTGGCGGGCGGCGACAACGGTTTTCTCCCACTGCTTGCAGAAGCGGCATTTGACTTTTTTTAGTCGTTGGATTATCTAATGGGATAATAGCGATGTATTCTTATTTCTTTTACTGAGCACTATTCTCACTTGAACTCAACCCTATATATATAATTGCAATCTACAAAGTTAATGCAAACGAAAAAATTTTCCACCTATTTTTTTAGTTAATTATGGTAAAAATATTTTATTTTATGTTAATTTAGTGTAATCATATTTTATTAACTATTAAGTTATTACTAAAATCAAACACCTAATGATGATGATGGTGGTGATGATGAAAATTTGATTATTAATATTTTTTAATAGCTAATTATTCAATCACCAAATTACAAAAATTATATTATTTATCACATTTTATGCAATTAATATAGTAATTTATGTGTAGTTAAATAATTTATATTTATTTTGTTCATTTACTAATGATGAATGTCATATGTTAATCATCTATTTTTATAATTTTAATATTATATGTAAATAATTCATTATACTTTATAATTTTTATATGTGCACATTTATATATTGAAGAATTTTTTTGTTGCTATATTAATTAATATATTCAATAGTTACAAGTTATAAGTTATAACAATCAAAATAGTATTTGGACAGATGGAATAAATTTAAACTTCAATTTCCCATAGAAATATAACACTAATTTTATCTTCTTGTTGACAATAATCAGATATTTTTATTAGCCCCGAACTTGCAAAATGCTGAACTGAAGTGAAACATTTCCAGAAAACCCATTTTCACTTGAAACGAGCATCAATGGCGGATAAATTGGCTCTACCTCTCCTCCTCCCAAACCCGCCTCCCCCAAAACCCTTGTTCCTGGAGAGCTCCACCGCCGCACCGCCGCCGCCGCCGGCCCCAAACTTCGCCCCTCTCATCCAGGACATCCTCCCCCGCCGCCTTCACCCCACGGTCACCACCTCCACCTCCTCCGCTCCCCCAAACTACCCCTCCGCCATTCCTAGGCCACGACGTCGTATTGGGCAACACCAAGACCCCAACAAGGGCAAGCCCTGGGTCCACAGCGGCCTCTCCTCTCAAGGTTTGCTCGTTCTTCAATCCCTCATCGACCCCCAATTCGACCCTGAGAATCTCAACGAACAGTTGTCCTCTCTGTTCAATTCCTGCTACAATCGGGAAGACGAGTTCTCGGAGGATTCCATTTTTTCTGATTTATTCGGGATAATCAAGGCTCTTGGCTACTATGAAAAAACCCCATTGGCTTTGAGTGTGTTTGAGTGGATTAGAAAACGTAAGGATTCGGAGAATTTCATAAATGGGTCTGTTGTTGCTGTGATTATTAGAATGCTGGGCAAAGAGGGTAAGCTCTCAACTGCATCTTCTCTGTTTCATGATCTGCATAAAGATGGATTAGGGATTGATGTCTATGCTTACACATCCTTAATAACTGTGTTATCGAGCAAGGGACGTTATAGGGAAGCCATTATGGTTTTCAACAAAATGGAAGAAGAAGGTTGCCAGCCGAGTTTAATCACCTACAACGTAATCTTGAACGCATACGGCAAAATGGGTATGCCGTGGCATAAAATTATGTTGGTTTTTGATGGTATGAAGAGCTCGGGTATTTCCCCAGACGCATACACGTTCAATACGATCATAAGTTGTTGCCGAAGGGGATCTTTGCACGAGGAGGCCAAAGGTATTTTTCACGAGATGAAATTAGCCGGATTTTTGCCTGATAAAGTTACTTATAATGCATTGTTGGATGTTTACGGTAAGTCGAGGAGGCTTAAAGAGGCAATGGAAGTTCTGAAAGAAATGGTTATCAACGGTATTTCTCCCAGCATCGTGACTTACAATTCTTTAATATCCGCATATGCTCGAGATGGGTTGTTAGATGAGGCCATGGAGTTAAAATCTCAGATGGTTAAAAATGGGATTAAACCGGACGTGTTCACTTACACTACATTACTCTCCGGATTCGAAAAAAACGGGAATGACGAGTCGGCCATGGGGATATTCAAGGAAATGCAGCTCACGGGCTGCAAACCGAACATATGCACGTTTAACGCTCTCATCAAAATGTATGGAAACAGAGGAAAATTCAAGGAAATGATGAGAATTTTCGATGAGATGAAAGCGTGTGGGTTCAAGGCAGATGTTGTCACTTGGAACACTCTTTTGGCCGTGTTCGGTCAGAACAGAATGGACACGGAACTTTCCGGAGTGTTCAAGGAGATGAAAAGGTCCGGTTTTGTTGCTGAGAGGGACACTTTCAACACACTGATCAGTGCTTACAGCAAATGCGGATCGTTAGATCAGGCAATGGCTATTTATAAACACATGCTCGAAGCTAAAGTCACGCCTGACCTCTCGACTTACAATACCGTTTTAGCTGCTTTATCTCGGGCTGGGCTGTGGGCCCAGTCAGAGAAGGTTTTTGCTGAAATGGTGAATGGTCGGTGTAAACCGAATCAATTGACTTACAGTTCTTTACTCCACGCGTACGCTAACGGGAAACAGATTAAAAAAATACACTCTTTGGCGAAAGAAATATATTCCGGTAAAATCGAGCCTCGTGCGGGTTTGCTCAAAACTCTTGTGATTGTCTACAGTAAATGTGATTTGTTAAAAGAAACAGAGCAGGCTTTGTTTGAGCTGAGGAGAAAAGGCTCGTCTCCCGATATAACCATTCTAAACGCGATGGTCTCGATTTACGGGCGGAGGCAGATGATCGATAAGGCGAACGAGGTTTTCGAGTTCATGAGAGAAAACGGGTTCACGCCAACTCTTGCAACGTACAACAGCATGATGTACATGTACAGCCTGTCGGTTGATTTCGAAAAGGCAGAGGATATTTTGAAAGATTTAATCAAGAAAGGGATTAAACCGGACGTGATTTCGTATAATACGGTGATTTACGGTTACTGTAGGAACAGGCGTATGAAGGAGGCTTCGAGGGTATTTAAGGAAATGAGAGATTCGGGTATTAATCCGAACGTGATTACGTACAATACGTTTGTCGTGAGCTATTTATCGAATGCTATGTTTGTGGAGGCCATTGATTTGGTTCGGTATATGATCAAGAATGGGTGTAGGCCGAATGAGAGCACGTATAATTCGATCGTGGATTGGTATTGTAGGCTCGACAGGCGTGATGAGGCAGTTATGTTTGTTAGTAATGTTCGGGAGATAAATCCGCACGTTTCGAAGGAGGAAGTTCGTAAATTGTCCGAAAGGCTGAGAATGAAAGGAGGTGATGAGGAGGATGATGGTGGGTTTCTTTGGGGTGATAACCAGAGCTCAAGATGGAAGAGAGTAATGTAAAAAAGGTTAGATGTAATAACATTAATACCTTTCATAGTTAATGGTAGATATGTATGCATTAATCAAAACTGTTGATGTGTATGTTTTTTTGTTTTTGCTGCTTGTTATTACTGTCGCTGTGTGTGTACTGCATTTTGAGATGTATTCAAGTTGAAATTGAGAATGGGTGGGGAAGATGATGAGATTCTTGTGCTTCTCTTAATAGTG